AAAAAAAAAAAAAAAAAAAGAAACCTCTAAAGAGCTATTGTGAGCATAAATGAAATCATATCTGTAAAGTTTCTCATATTGTATTAAGGTCTTAGTAATCAATAAACTAGTTATTAATGTTAATTTTAGTGAGCAGCATTTTATTTAGCAAACTTATTGTCTAAGTTTTTTTTTATTCAAGAACGCCTATTTTTTAATACTTTATATCTAAGTATTTAATTGTAAATAGGAGAGTGGTGCTAATTAGGCTGGTGCTTTGGGAGCAAACTGCAAATCTAGGTGTTACGGGAAGCAGCATAGAAGAATAGCTTTCACATTTTTTTGAAGCCTCAGCCCACCAGAAATATATTTATGGCCAGGTATAGTGGCTCATGCTTGTAATCCCAGCACTTTGGGAGGCTGAGGAAGGACAGTCGCTTGAGCCCAGGAGCTTGAGACCAGCCTAGCCAACATAAAGAGACGCTGTCCTTACAAAAAATACAAAAATTAGCTGGGTGTGGTGGCATGTGCCTATAGTCCCAGATCCTCAGGAGGCTGAGGTGAGAGCATCATGTTGTTTAGGCTGGTCTCAAACTCCTGGCCTCCAGAGATTTACCCACCTTGGCCTCCCAAAGTGTTGGGATTACAGGCGTGAGCCACCACACCTGGCTGGTATTTCTATTTTATTCTCATTCACTGAAACAAATTGCTAGTTGTGACATATTAACATGATTTCTCACCCATTTATGCGTTACAAACTGTGTTTAAAAAAATACTACTGTCCAAAAAAAGAAAAAAGAAAAAAATATTATCCCCTCCCACACAGTGGGAGCTCCCTCCAGGATTTCCCCTCTGGAATTCCCTTCCACACTTTTCGTGGAAGGCTTTCTCTTCTTCTCCTTTCCGTCTCTTTCTACCTAAATAAAATCACCTTTCTGCAACAACAACAGCAACAACAAACTACTAATGTAGGTATAATACTGAATAATGAGTTAAGATAATCTGAGTCAATTCTCAGCTTCTTTAGTTATTGGCTCTGTGACTTCGGGCAAGTTAACTTCCCTAAGTTTGAATTCGGTGTCTTTAAAATGTGATACCTTGGCCGGGCGCGGTGGCTCACGCTTATAATCCCAGCACTTTGGGAGGCCAAGGTGGGTGGATCACGAGGTCAAGAGATCGAGACCATCCTGGTCAATAAGGTGAAACCCTGTCTCTACTAAAAATAGAAAAATTAGCTGAGCATGGTAGCGTGCGCCTGTAGTCCCAGCTACTTGGGAGGCTGAGGCAGGAGAATTGCTTGAACCCAGGAGGCGGAGGTTGCGGCAAGCTGAGATCGTGCCATTGCACTCCAGCCCGGGTAACAAGAGCGAAACTCCATCTCAAAAAAAATAATAAATAAATTAATTAAAATAAAATGTGATACCTCATTCACTAGGTTGTTGAGAGGATTTAATGAGATAATACATGTTATTATTACTTTATAGTGTACCTGGCATTCATTTATTGAAGAAATATTTTGAATATCCATGATATGCCACCATTAATTGCTGATGTAGAAAGTGAAGTTGTAGAAAAACAGACAAATACCCTTGTCCTTCTGTGTTTACACTCTAGGGCAGGGAGACAAACCAAAAACTTTTTATTTTTTATAACAGCCTTTGTTACCTCCTGGGCCTTTAGAAATGACTTCTGAAAATCAAGATGACAACAGTGAAGGACTTAAAGGATTTCTGCGGACATGGGCAGGAATGAGCAAGGTATCACTTGGGAAGGAAGGCTAATAGCCTTTAGAATCATCTGTTAAGGACATATATATATATATGTATTAACTTAGTACTTGATCTCTCTCAATGTTTCAGCCAAGTAGTAAGAACACTGAGAAGGAGTTATCTAGCATTAAAAGGTAAGTTGAAATTCCTTGTGTTTCTTTTATATTTTTTGAGATGTTTGAATTATAAAGACTATACATCATTACAGGGAATTTTGAAAGTGAGATGTTTTGTATATTTCCTCTTAAGTGTTGCCCTATGCAACACCACTAGGATATAAGCTTCATGAGGGCAAAAATTTTCTCTCAATAACCAGAAAAGTGCCTGGCACATAATTATATGTTCAATGTTGAATAAATGAGTGAATCAATTTTTACTTCATGTTCTAATGTATATACAATTTTGTGTTACACTTCTTTTTTTTTTTAAAAGACAAGATCTCCCTCTGTTGCTTAGGCTGCAGTGCAGTGGCACAATCTTGGCTCACTGGAACCTCTGCTTCCTGGGCCCAAGTGATCCTTCTGCCTCAGTCTCCCAAGTATCTTGGACTACAGGCATGCACCATCATACTTCACTAACTTTTACATTTGTAGAGATGAGATTTTGCCATGTTGCACAGGCTGGTCATGAACACCTGGGCTCAAATGAGTCATCTGCCTTGGACTCCCAAAGTGCTGGGATTATAGGTGTGAGCCACTGTGCCTGGCCCACATTAATGCTTTTTTCATTTGTGGTTGCATGTTACTAGAGTCTTTTTTTTTTTCTTTTTAATATGAGGAGTCTTGCACTGTTGCCCAGGCTGGAGTGCAATGGTACTGTCTTGGCTCACTGCAACCTCTGCCTCCCGGGTTCACGTGATTCTCCTGCCCCAGCCTCCTGAGAAGCTGGGATTATAGGTACACACTACCACACTCAGCTAATTTTTTTGTATTTTTGGTAGAGATGGGGTTTCACTATGTTGGCCAGACTGGTTTCAAACTCTTGACCTTGTGATCTGCCCGCCTTGGCATCTGAAAGTGCTGGGATTACAAGCATGAGCCACTGTGCCCAGCCTGCATATTGCTAGAGTCTTTAAACTTATTGAATGATTATAAAATAGTCCATTGAGTAGAAGGAATTTACTTTTCCTCCTACCTGCCTGGTATTTGCAGTTGCTTTCTATTTAGTCCTGTGTATTTGTGTATGTGTTGTTGAAGTGTATGGATATAATAGTGGATTATTTCTTTAGGTTAGATTTCCACAAGTGAAATTAATGCATCAAGTATTATGAACATTTTTATGGCTTTTAGTACACATTGCCAAATTGTTTCTAAAAAGTCTTTTTTTCTTTGATCTGAAAATTTTATATGAACTTACTCTTCTTCTAGCAATATGTGTTAGTATGTGTATTTAACTTCAGCCTACCAGTTTTTGGTGTTATTAAAATTATCAAGGTTAATTTAAAAAGTGAAACATAGTATTGCTTGATTCGATTTCCTTGGTTACCAGGAGATTGAATAGTTTCCCGTATTTATTTATTGATTATGGTTTTTCTTTTGAATCATCTTTTACTTATTTTGACTATTGAGATTGGTTTTACTTATAAAATTTAACTTTCTAATTTTCTTAGCTACAAAGCCAATTTAAATGGCATGGTCATTAGTGAAGATACTGTTTACAAAGTTACCACAGGCCCAATATTCTCTATGGCTCTCCACCCATCAGAAACTAGAACTTTGGTAGCAGTTGGGGCCAAATTTGGGCAAGTTGGACTTTGCGATTTGGTAAGTTATTATTTTTTGAAGATATTATAGTTTGACTAAAGCAAATAGCCTGGAAGAGACTAAGCCAGAGCCATGTGTTTATAAATGTTGTGTGAGACTTATAGTTTTGCATTTTATGATGCTTTATGATTCTAAATTTTAGAAATCTAGAGGAATTTAAATTTGCTTTATAGAACTTTAATATTTTTAGCTTGAATATCATTAACCATCTGGGCATAAATTAACTGCCAGCAAACTTTATTACACTTTAGATGTATATGTGAAAAGATCACACATAGTTCTTAGTTTTCTAGTTGTGTTTAAAATATTGTCTGCTATGGTCTGAATTTTTCCCCCCCAAATTCATATGTTGAAAAACTAATCCCTGTGATATTAGGAGATAGGACCTTTGGGAGGGGATAAGGTCATGAATGAGATTAGTGCCCTTAAAAAAGAAACCCAGTAGAGACCACTGCCCCTTATACCATATGAGGACACAGCTAGAAGGCATCAACTATGAACCAGAAAGTGGCCAGACGTTGAATCAGCTGGAATCTTGACCTCAGTCTTCCTAGTCACCAGGACCGTGAGAAATAAATTGCTGCTGTTTATAAGCACTCAGTTTATGTTACGTTGTTTTAGCAGCCCAAATGGACTAAGACACAGTTTCTAAGCTGTATGAAAATATCTTCCCAGGGACCTGCTTTGGGATGATTCCAGTCATCTTTGATGAGCCAGAAATAGATATTGAATTGCATTCATTGTGCATGTAATTCATAAGGAAGTGCTGTCTGTTGTTAATTGAGAAAAGTCAAGTTAATGTTCTCTGAATTTATTTTTTTATTGGGGAAGAAAACCAAAGACATGAAAAATGCCATAAGGACAATTAATGATGAAACAGTGGTGCCTTGAAGTTGGTTGGGGTTTGTAAACAAAATTTGCAAGTTGGAAGACAGAGATAGAAACCAAGTTCTCTCTTATTTTGGGATCATAGATTCTCCCTTATTTTGATAAGATGTGAGTGGGGGTAGGAGGTGATAGGATTTAGCAAAGACAACTGAAGCAAAAAAGTGGGAAGAAGATCAGAATAGTATATTTTAGAAGCCGAGATAAGAGTTTCAAGGATGCAAGGTTGGCAGAGCCTTTTGCAGAGAAGTTAAAAGAATGGAGAAAAGGCCATTGGTTATGAAAATAGGGTACCATTAGTTGAGAGAATAGCTTTGACAATGAGTTAAGTAAGGAACAGGGGCTTTTGGAGATTAAGAAACTATGGGGTAATGGAAGAACTGGAAGCAATGAGATAGAGACTACTGGTTTTTTTTTGTTTTGTTTTTTTTGAGACATGATGCCACTCTGTTGCCTAGTCTGGAGGGCAGTAGCATGATCATAGCTCACTGCAGCCTCAGCCTCCCAGGCTCAAGTGATCTTCCACTTCAGCTTCCTGAGTAGCTGGGATTACAGTGATGTGCCACCATGCCTGGCTAATTTTTTTATTTTTTGTAGAGACGGGTGTCACTATGTTGCCTAGGCTGATCTAGAACTCCTGAGCTCAAGCATTCTACCTGCTTCAGCCTCACAAAGTGCTGGGATTACAGGTGTGAGCCACTGCACCCATCTGAGAATACTTTTTTTTTTCTTTTTTTGAAATGGAGTTTTGCTCTTGTCGCCCAGGCTGGAGTACAGTGGCTTGATTTTAGCTCACTGCAACCTCCACTTCCCAGGTTCAAGCATTTCTCCTGCCTCAGCCTCCTTAGCAGCTGGGACTACAGGCACTTGCCACCACACCCAGCCAATTTTTGTATTTTTAGTAGAGACGGAATTTCACCATTTTGGCTGGACTGGTCTGACCTTGTGATCCACCTCCCTTGCCCTCTCAAAGGGCTTGGATTACAGGCATGAGCCACCGTGCCAAGCCCTGAGACTACTTTTTGAAGAATTTTGAAAAGGAAAAATTGCAAATTAGCATGATTAAGTGAAGATATTTTTTGGATGAGTTAATCTGTATAGAATTTAAGACTTGGCCGGGCGCGGTGGCTCAAGCCTGTAATCCCAGCACTTTGGGAGGCCGAGGCGGGTGGATCACGAGGTCAAGAGATCGAGACCATCCTGGTCAATATGGTGAAACCCCGTCTCTACTAAAAATACAAAAAATTAGCTGGGCATGGTGGTGCGTGCCTGTAATCCCAGCTACTCAGGAGGCTGAGGCAGGAGAATTGCCTGAATCCAGGAGGCGGAGGTTGCGGTGAGCCGAGATCGCGCCATTGCACTCCAGCCTGGGTAACGAGAGCGAAACTCCGTCTCAAAAAAAAAAAAAAAAAAAGAATTTAAGACTTATGTAAAAATCCTTTTTTCTTTCTTTATTTTTAAGATGGAGTCTCACTTTGTCACCCAGGCTGGGGTGCAGTGGTGTGATCTTGGCTCATTGCAACCTCCACCTCCTGGTTCAAGCGATTCTCCTGCCTCAGCCTCCCGAGTAGCTGGGATTAATAGGCATGTGCCACCATGCTTGGCTTATTTTTTGTATTTTTAGTAGAGATGGGGCTTTACCGTGTTAGCCAGGATGGTCTCCATCTCCTGACCTTATGATCTGTCCACCTTGGCCTCCCAAAGTCCTGGGATTACAGGTGTGAGCCACCGTGCCTGGCCCAAAAATCCTTTTTCTCCTATCTTTCCTGGTGACTCCAAAAATCTGTATTACTAGGTCTCTATAGTCCAGTATCTCCATCCACCTAGTTTTCCAGGATACTTGGCAATCTCGTTAACAGATTTAGCAAGTCTAAAAGCAGTATCATCTTGCCTATCCTGTGCTCACAATTTCCCATTTTTTTTTTTTAAGAAGCTTTATGGAGGTATAATTTATCATACAATCCACGTACTTAAAATGTGAAATTCAGCATTTTCTTTTTTTCTTTTTTTTTGTTTTGAGATGGGAGTCTCGCTCTGTTGCCCAGGCTGGAGTGCTGTGGTACGATCCCAGCTCACTGCAACCTCTGCCTCCTGTGCCTCCTGGCACAAGGTGATTCTTGTGCCTCTACCTCCCGAGTAGCTGGGATTATAGGTGCTTACTGCCACACCTGGCTAATTTTTGTACTTTTTGTACAGATGAGATTTCTTCATGTTGGCCAGGCTGATCTTGAACTCCTGACCTCAAATAATCCATCTGCCTTGTCCTCCCCATGCTGGGATTACAGGTGTGAGCCAGCGTGTGCGGCCTCAGTGGTTTTTAATAAGTTTACTGAGTTGTTTAACTTTCATAGTCTGGTTTTAGAGCATTTTCATCATTACTTTCTCTCTCTTTTTTTTTTTTCTGAGAAAGATTTAACCGTGGCATTTTCATCATTTCTATAAGATCCCTCATGCCAGCTGGGCACAGTGGCTCATGCCTGTGATTCCAGCACTTTGGGAAGTTGAGGCAGGAGAATCGCTTAAGCCCACTAGTTCCAGACCTGCCTAAGTGACATAGTGAGACTCCTGTCTCTACAAAAAAAAAAAAAAAAAAAAAAAAAAGAAAAAAGAAAGGGCCGGGCGCGGTGGCTCACGCCTGTAATCCCAGCACTTTGGGAGACCGAGGTGGGCAGATGACAAGGTCAAGAGATAGAGACTATCCTGCCCAACATGGTGAAACCCCGTCTCTACTAAAAATACAAAAAGTAGGCGAGCGCCTGTACTCTGGGCTACTCGGGAGGCTGAGGCAGGAGAATCGTTTGAACCTGAGAGGCAGAGGTTGTAGTGACCCAAGATCCTGCCACTGTGCTCCAGCCTGGGTGACAGAGTGAGACTCCATCTAAAAAGAAGAAAAAGGCAGTTAAAGATGATCCAACAAATGGAACAGAAAATATATTCAGACAATTTTCTTGCAATTAAGGCAGAATTGAATTGGCAGTTGAATGTGTACACTGCATTCCAGGAATATGAGAAACTTACTAAATTTTTGAGACAGAATTGCGCTCCATCACGCAGGTTGGAGTGCAGTGGTGAGATCTCAGATCACTGCAACCTCTGCCTCCCGGGTTCAAGAGATCCTCCTGCCTCAGCCTCCTGAGTGGCTGGGACTACAGGTGTGCAGCACCACACCTGGCTAATTTTTATATTTTTAGTAGAGATGGGGTCTCACCATACTGGCCAGGCTGATCTCAAACTCCTGACCTCATATCTACCCACCTCGGCCTCCCAAAGTGCTTGGATTACAGGTGTGAGCCCCCACCCTGCCTTTTTTTTTTTTTTTTTTTTTTTTTGCAGAGCCTCACTCTGTCCCCCAGGCTGGAGTGCCGTAGCGCAATTCCGCTCACTGCAACCTCTGCCTCCTGTGTGCAAGCGATTCTCCTGTCTCAACATGGTGAAACCCCATCTCCACTAAAAATACAAAAATTAGCCAAGTGTGGTGGTGAGCGCCTGTAATCTCAGCTACTCAGGAGGCCTAGGCAGGAGAATCTCTTGAACCCAGGAGGTGGAGGTTGTAGTGAGCTGAGATCATGCCACTACACTTCAGCCTGGGCGAGAGAGTGAGACTCCATCTCAAAAAAAAAAAAAAAAAAAAAAAAAAAAAAAAAAAAAAAAAAAAAAAAAAAAAAAAAAAAAAAAAAAAAAAAAAGACTGTTGGAGGTAGGATGAGAATAATATTCTCAAATCAGTAATCAGTGGAAATTGTCTAAAATTAACAGTTTAAAAAATAAAAAGCTGCCGGGCATGGCGGCTCACGCCTGTAATCCCAGCACTTTAGGAGGCTGAGGTGGGTGGATCATGAGGTCAAGTATTCAAGACCAGCCTGACCAACATGGTGAAACCCCGTCTCTACTAAAACTACAAAAATTAGCTGGGCATGGTGGCGTGCACCTGTAATCCCAGCTTCTAGGTTGGCTGAGGCAGGAGAATTGCTTGAACCTGGGAGGGAAAGGTTGCAATGAGCTGAGGCACCATTGTACTCCATCCTGGGTGACAAAACAAAACTCCATCTCAAAAAAAATAAAAAATAAAAAGCATAATGACTACAGTTGCTTCTTGTTTTATACTTTTGTCATTGTAGGAGATAATGTCTCTGTAAATACTTGAAGTTTAAAAATTCCTTTAGCTTCATATTCTTATTTTGACATCTTTATATGTACCTATACAGATAGAATGACAGAGAAGAAATTTTACAAAAGGACCATGCGATATGTGCCATTTTAAATTACATTGAATTTGACTATAAAGATGTCTATAATAATACTCAGTATTTTCATGATAATTTTGGCTAATTTTAGATTTGGGAAGTTTTTTTTTCTTTTTGAGAAGGAGTTTTGCTCTTGTTGCCCAGGCTGGAGTGCAATGGTGCAATCTTGGCTCACTGCAATTTCCACCTCCCAGGTTCAAGGAATTTTCTCCTGCCACAGCTCCCNAGATTACAGGCATGCGCCACCATGCCCGGCTAAGTTTTATATTTTTAGTAGAGATGGTGTTTCACTATGTTGGTCAGGCTGGTCTTGAACTGCAGACCTCAGGTGATGCCCCAACCTTGGCCTTGCAAAGTGCTGGGATTACAGGTGTGAGCCATTACACTGGTCCTGGAGTGATTTTTTATTTTTCCTGAGATGGTGTCTCACTCTGTCATTCAGGCTGGAGTGCAGCGGCGCTATCTCGGCTCACTGCAGCCTCCACTTCTCTGGTTCAAGCAGTTCTCTGCTTTAGCCTCCCTAGTAGCTGGGATTACAGTCGCCTGCCACCACCTGCAGCTAATGTTTGTATTTTTAGGAGAGATGAGGTTTCACCATCTTGGCCAGGCCGGTCTTGAACTCCTGACCTTGTGATCTACCTGCCATGGCCTACCAAAGTGCTGGGAATACAGGTGTGAGCCACTGTGCCCGTGGCCTGGAGTGATTTTTTAAAAACATTCATCTTTGTATATTTCTGCATTGTTTGAGTTCTTTATAACAAGAGGAAGGTTTGCTTTTTTAGAAAATAAATGCTTTAAACAAATATGCCAGTAGTTTCTGGTAACAGGAAGAGTATGTGTGATGATAATTTTTTCTCTTTTTTTTTTTCCCTTATAAAAATGTTTCATTTAAAATTTAAAAAAAGTGCTTTACCATTTCAGAGTAGAATAAGCCAGATTTGGAGGTGATGCTTTGTCTGATTCATAATATGCCACACGGCATACAAACATAACTTACTTTGATCTGAAAAGTGACTTCTCAGGAGTTGGCAATCCATTATGGAAAGGGAAAAAGTCCTTAGGAGTAGGTATATTAATATGGAAATTCAAATACATGCATTTTAATGGTGTATTTAGAGGATAAAATACGTTTAAAAGTATCGTTTTTGTGCCAGGACCAAATACCTTATGAAAATTATGCTGAGAATGAGTAAATTAATATTATGCAGAAGCCTGCTGCAGAAGCAAAGTGATAAGGTACTGATACTGTTTTGGTTAGCAGTTATACCATATGTGAAATAAAGAGTAGATTTCTCATTTTCTGAGGATTTTATGAACTGACAGTAATATATAAAGTAGTACATTAGTTGCAGAAAGCTGGTCACTTAATATTAATGTGACTTGGTATTGTTGGATTGATAACTAGAAAAAAGTTAATGACAAGATAAAGTTTCTAATTCTGACTTTCTGAAGGGGAGAGTGGTTACAATTATAGACTAAGAAAAGACAATATAATCCAGTGTAAATTCTTTAATGACATAATAGCATAGCAAAAATCACTACTTTTCACTAGTTTTGTTCTCCCAACTCTCTTCCAGACCCAGCAACCTAAAGAAGATGGAGTTTATGTTTTTCATCCCCATAGTCAGCCAGTTAGCTGTCTTTACTTTTCACCTGCCAATCCGGCCCACATACTGTCACTAAGCTATGATGGCACGTTACGCTGCGGGGATTTTTCCAGGGCTGTTTTTGAAGAGGTAAATGTTAATGTGTTTACATGCTGACCTCAGATGATATTCTGGATTATTTATATTCTGGATTATATTATTATTATTTATGATATTCTGGATTATTTATTATGTCCCATGAATAATTATTATATCAATCATATTGGGAGAAGTGGTATAGCAGAAAGACTTTGAGAAATACACTAAGTTCAAATCCTAGATCATCTATTACTAGTTGTGTGACCTTGACAAGTTGCTTAACCTCTTTGTGCGTCACTTTCCTTGGTTGTGAAATGGGATATAACAGTACTGATCTTATACGGTTGTCATGAGAATTTAATGAGTTTATGCAGATAAAATGCTTAGAACAGAGCCTAGCACATAGTATGTGTGCTTGTTAATTTTTTTTTCCCAAAGCTTTTAAATAAAGTAACTTATTCTTCTGTTTTTAGGCATAAGACTTATATTTAGCTGGGTGTGGTGGCTCATGCTTGTAATCCCAATACTTTGGGAAGCCAAGGTGGGAGGCTCACTTCAGGCCAGGAGTTCCAGATCAGCTTGGGCAACATGGCTAGACCTTGTCTCTACCAAAATTAAAAGATATTAGCTGGGTGTGGTGGTGTGTGCCTGTAGTCTCAGCTACTCAGGAGGCTGAGGTGGGAAGATCAGTTTTGCCAAGGAGACTAAGGCTGCAGTAAAGCTGTGATCACTTCATTGCACTTAAGCCTGGGCGACAGAGTGAGACCCTCTCTCAAAATAAAACATCTTCTACTTAATGTTTAAAACAAACATACCTTTTGAGATGAAGTTTCAGATTTGCTTAACTGTATCAGATTGCCTCAATAGGAGAATTATTATAAGTTGAACTTTGTTTTTTATTTTTTTGAGACAGAATTTCACTCTTGTCACCCAGGCTGGAGTGCAGTGGTGCAATCTCGGCTTACTGAAACCTCTGCTTGGCTTACTGCAACCTCCGCTCGGCTCACTGCAACCTCTACCTCCCGGGTTCAAGTGATTCTCCTGCCTCATCCTCCTGAATAGCTGGGATTACAGGCGCCCACCACCACGCCTGGCTAATTTTTGTATTTTGTGTGTGTGTGTGTGTGTGTGTGGGGAGATGGAGTCTTGCTCTGTCACCCAGGTTGGAGCGCAGTGCCTTTATTTTGACTCACTACAACCTCCATCTCCTGGGTTCAAGTAATTCTACTGCCTCAGTTTCCGAAGTAGCTGGGATTATAGACTCATGCCACCATGCCTGGGTAATTTCTTTTGTATTTTAGTAGAGATGGGGTTTTACCGTGTTGGCCAGGCTGGTCTCAAACTCCTGGCCTCAGGTGACCCGCAAGTGCTGGCCTCCCAAAGTGCTGGGATTGCAGGTGTGAGCTACCACACTCAGCCATAAGTTCAACTTAAAAAATATATAGATTTTAATATTTGTAAAACTTAGGATGAAAATTTAAATGTAGATCTTTATCCTTTATCTTATTTTGAATGGAATTTTAAAAATTTTTAGAGATTGTCAGTTTAAGAGCAATTTGTATGTGATACACAATGCAGAAAACCATATACTCATTACTGAAGTTACTTTGAAGTTACTAATTGATGATCAAGTTTATGCCTTAGTTTTTTTATATAAGCCAGTGCTCACAATTAACACATTCTGGTATTTTTGCAGTTATTCTAAATATGTATAGATGGTTCATAATTATTACTGTTATTGTTTTGGAGACTGAGTCTCACTCTGTTGCCTAGGCTGGAGTGCAATGGTGTGATCTCCGCTTACTGCAACCTTTGACTCTTGGGTTCAAGCGATTCTCCTGCCTCAGCCTCCTGAGTAGCTAGGATTATAGGGATTACAGGTGCCCACCACCATGCCTATAATCCCAGCATTTTGGGAGGCTGAGGAGGGCGGATCACCTGAGCTTAGGAGTTTGAGACCAGCCTGACCAACACAGGGAAACCCCATCTTTACTAACAATACAAAAATTCACTTGGCGTGGTAGTGTGCATCTGTTGTCCCAGCTATTCGGGAGTCTGAGGCATGAGAATTGTTTGAACCTGGGAGGTGGAGGCTGCAGTAAGCCGAGATTGTGTCACTGTAGTCCAGTCTGGGTGACAGAGGGAGACACTCAAAAAAGAGAAATATGTTACATACGATACAATTTACCATTTTAGGTGTATAGTTCAGTCAGTTTTGGTGAATTGCATGCACCTACGTAACCATCATAATCAAGATACGGAGCCAGGTGCCTTGGCTCACACCTGTAATCCCAGCACTTTGGGAGGCTGAGGCAGGTGGATCACTTGAGGTCAGGAGTTTGAGACCAACATGGCGAAACCCCATCTCTACTGAAAAAAAAAAATACAAAAATTAGCCATGCATGGGGGTTCATGCCTGTAATCCTAGCTATCCGGAGGCTAGGGCAGGGAGAATCGCTTGAACCCAGGAGGTGGAGGTTGCAGTGAGCCAAGATTGCATCACTGCACTCCAGCCTGAGTGACAGAGTGAGACTTTGTCTCAAAATATATATATGTGTGTGTGTGTGTGTGTGTGTGTGTGTATAAAATTTCCATGTCCCCCAAAATTTCGTCATGACTTTTTGTAGTCATTCTCCTTCCACTGCCTGCAATCCCTGGCAACCACTAATGTGATTACTGTCCCTATAATTTTGTCTTTTCCTGAATGTCAAGCAATTGCAATTATATGTAGCCTTTTTTTCCTGGCTTCCTTTACCTACTGTAACACTTTTAAGATTAGTTCATGCTGTTGCATATATTCGTAATTTGTTCCTGATTCTACTGACTGAACAGTTACCTTATGCTAGGCACTATCTTGAGTCTGCTTTATATACATCAAGTTTATAACACCTTAGAAAATGAGTAATGTGCATTTAACAGGTGAAAAATTGAGGCAAAGAGAGGTTTATGAGGTTGCTCAAGGACGTAGATGGCAGAACAAGAATTTACACTAGGGTTTGTCTGACTCCAAAGCCCCTGCTCTTAACAATGTAAATATACTGAGTATGTGAAGTTTTATTTGTATATCTTGATCTTTTTGGCGGGCTTGGGGGTTGTGTTGCCTCTAGTATATTAATTTGTTATTCTTAGTTAATAATACTTGTTATTTGAACTAAAAATCAGCAATTCATGATTCAACAATAAGAATTGTGGTCGTCCTCTCTTAGATGATAGAAAGATTTATTTTTTTGTTCTTTATATGTATGAGTCCTAAACCCAAAGTGATTGCATTGTGGATTACATGTGATTAAAAACTTAATAACATGCTCATGATAAAATATTTACAGTAAATCAGATAGTGAAAGTAAATCTGCCTTTCATTCCCATTATTCACAAGTAACCATTGTTTCATATCTTGAGTATGCTTTCAGAAAGTGCACTTATGCTTACAAGCATATAGTTATACGTTTTTTTTTTTTTTTGAGACAGAGTCTCCCTCTTTCACCAGGAGGCAGGCTGGAGTGCAGTGGCACGATCTCGGCTCACTGCAACCTCTGCCTCCTAGCTTCAGGCAATTCTCCTGCCTGAGTCTCCTGAGTAGCTGGAACTACAGACATGCGCCACCACGTCGAGATAATTTTTGTATTTTAGTTAGAGACGGGGTTTCACTGTGTTGGCCAGGATGGTCTTGGTCTCTTGACGTCATGATCCACCTGCCTTGGCCTCCCAAAGTGGTGAGATTACAGGTGTGAACCACCGCACACGGCCTAGTTATACATTTTTTTCTCCTCTTCTTTATACTAATAGATTCATACTAATATGCATAGCCTTTTGCAACTCTTTTCACTTAGTAGTATATCTTGGACAGTTAATAATATAAAACTACCTTATTCTTTTTAGCATTGCATGGTATTTCAAAGCAGAGATGGACCATCATTTATTTAACCAGATCTCTCTTGTTGGATATTTAAGTTGCTTCTTCTTATAAGCAGTCTTGCAGCAGGCATTGTTATAGATCTTAGTAAAATTACTGAGTCAAAAAGTATAAGCATTAAACATTTTGATAGATGTAGCCTGATTAACTGTCAAATATATATATATTTACTCTTCTACTAAGAGTAGGTAAGCATTCAGCTGTGCATCTTGGACTTGGTTGGCAAAGTTACCTTGCATATTAGGATTAATATTAATTTCTGTTGGGTAGAATTCTGATTCAGTTATTTTCCTGTTAAGTTGTGAAGGGTAGGTATGGAACTGAGGTTTATTGGGTTTGAGAAATTTCGGATGTAGCCCTGACATGGGTAGATGGGCCATTTAATTTATAGGCAAGTCTCACAGCTGATCAGTGCCTTTCTTTCTTTCTTTTTTTTTTTTTTTTATTTTTCAGGTAGATGGAATAAGTTCTAATGTTCAGTAGCAGAGGTAGGGTAACTATAGTTAAAAACAGTGTATTGTATATTTTAAAATAGCCAGAAGAGAGGACTTGAAATGATCCCAACACATAAAAATGACAAATATTCAAAGTGGTGGATATCCTAAATACCCTGATTGTGTTTCCATTGTGTCCTGTGCATATGATGGGGATGATGGGAGAATAAATGAGGTTATTTGAGTAAAGTGTTTTATAACCCTTTACCAAAGAATTTATGCTCTGGTTTTCTTTACAAGAGGAATGTGATACAAGCTGATTGGTACTTATATTCTTAGGTGTATAGAAATGAAAGAAGTAGCTTTTCCTCCTTCGACTTCTTGGCAGAAGATGCTTCCACTTTAATAGTAGGACACTGGGATGGAAAGATGTCACTGGTGGATAGGCGGACACCTGGAACTTCTTATGAGAAACTTATCGGTTCTTCTATGGGAAAAATAAGAACTGTTCATGTCCACCCGGTGCATAGACAGTATTTTATCACTGCCGGATTGAGGTATGGTCTTTATAAGGCTTTATGACTTAGACCTTTTAATGTCACGATTACCTGGTTTAGTTTGGTTGTCAGAGATACCTGACTTTTGTAATACCCAAAGGCCAAGTACTTTCCCTTTCTGTACTGATTGAAACTTTTTTGAGTGATTTTTTTTTTTTGGAAAAGGAGAAAATCTTTTAGATTTAATGAATAGTGAAAATACTGAAAGAAGTTTTTGTTTTCCTTGGCATTACATGCATTTACTTTTAATCGTATGAGAAGAAAATTTAAATTTTAAGGAAAAATAAGTTGTATGTGTGTTAACTTTTTTCTTGGAAGGATTGAAAAACCAGTTAGAAACTTGATGGCTGGGCGTGGTGGCTCATGCTTGTAATCTCAGCACTTTGGGAGGCTGAGGCAAGCAGATCCCTTGAGGTCAGGAGTTCAAGACCAGCCTGGCCACTATGGTGAGACCCTATCCCTACTAAAAATACAAAAATTAGCCAGATGTGGTGGTGCACACCTATAATCCCAAGCCACTGAGGAGGCTGAGACAGCAGAATCACTTGAACAAGGGAGGCGAAAGTTGGAGTAAGCCAAGATCGCACCACTGTACTCCAGTCCGGATGACCGAGCGAGACTGTGTCTCAAAAAAACGAAATAAAGCAAAACAAAACTAGTCTTTCTGTACACACTGGTTACCTGTATCTACTATAGTTTTGGGATGTGTCTAGTATTTTACTTGTTATCTATACTGCTTTTGGGAAAATTACAGATTATTAGAGGTTTCTGTCTTAAATGTTCTTCAGTATAGCAAGTATGTGAGTGTCTAACTTATCTTTAGTCCTGTTGTAGAGTCTCGTTACATCTTCTATGGCAACACTGATCATTGTTTCTGCCATTACAGGGATATTCATATTTATGATGCAAGGCACCTGAATTGCAGGGGAAGTCAGCCTTTGATTTCTTTGACTGAACATACAAAGAGCATTGCTTCTGCCTATTTTTCACCTCTTACTGGTAACAGAGTGGTGACCACATGTGCTGATTGTAATCTGAGGTAAATTGGGAAGGCAGAAATACGTTTTTAAGGAATCTGAGGAGTCTGTAACTACTGTGTTAGTCAAAAGCTTTATTTACTGCTGTTCCTATTAAATTGCTAGTGTTATTGTTTTGTAGTCATATCTTGATTCCCAAAGACCAGTGACTTGTATTTAATGGCTTTTCAGCAGTTCTTGAAATTTCCTTGAGACTGGCAAAGGTCCATAGCTACCCTGGGGGGTTTATGGTCACATTTCCCTTTTAGCACTGAAGAATCCCAGAAACCAGGCTGTGTAGCATTCTGAAAAGGAGATAATTTTAGCATACTTTGGGGTCAGTGGGATTTATTCCACACGTGAAGTGCTGAATGGAAATTGCAGAGCCCCCGACATTGGGCAGACAGAAAATAGCAAAAACTGGGATGCTATACAAACTATTGGTTGGATATGGTTTTATAGTTCTAGGGTTTTAGCTTTAATACCTTTCTATAGCTACTGCCTAAAAATGGATTTAAAGTGTAATATAAACCAATTGAACAGAAAACAGTGTCAGTGAAGATATCAGGAACATTAGTGTAGTCACAAAGGAAAATTATTTTGTCATCTTTTAGAATCCCCGATTTTGCTTAAAATTGCAAGCACTTCTCAGTTTGAGCGTTTTTACCTTAAGTGATTTTGGAATTCATATATTACTCAGTTGAATGTATACTGTGTACCAAGCTCCAGAATGGCACCCAATTTCTGTTTAAACCCATGTATTGGGAAGAGGATGGTCTGCAGTGTGTGACAGGTGTCCAGTTAGTTTCTAGCAAAGTCTGTATTACCAGATGGTGCAGAAAGAGAGTCACCAGGAATGGTGGGCCAGCATCTCCTTTCCACTCGCAGTTTTCTTTGTCTCAAGGGCTACCTGTTCTGTTCCTGTTCATTTACACTGCAGTTTACTCTTGTTACATTAACCGTTAGTGGTTTGACTTTCTACTAATCTATTTAGGCCATAAGCTCTAGTGCCTAGAAACCACATAGAAAAGCTAGGCACAAGGAGAAGAGAAGAAGTTGGACATGCTTTTAGTTTTCTTTTTTCTTTTCTTTTCTTTTTTTTTTTAATACGGGGTTTCACCATGTTGGCCAGGATGGTCTCGATTTCTTGATCTCGTGATCCGCCCGCCTCAGCCTCCCAAAGTGCTGAGATTACAGGTGTGAGCCACTGCGCGCGGTGCGTTTGGTTTTCTTTTGCTGAGGTGCTCAGTGGAGGCTTTTAGACTCCTCTCCAACTGCCGTATAAAAACTGCTCATGCCTATAATCCTAGCATTTCTGATGTGGGAGGATCAGTTGAGCCCAGGAGTTTGAGACCTGCCTGGGCAACATAGGGAGACCTTGTCTCTACAGAAAAAAATTAGCCAGATGTGGTAGTGTGTGCTTATAGCCCTAATTACCTGGGAGGCTGAGGTGGGAGGATCACGTGAGCCTGGAAGGTTAAGGCTTCAGTGAGCTGTGACAGCGCCATTGCACTTCAGCCTGGGCATCACAATGAGACGCTGTCTCTTGAAAAACCAAAACGCAACTCCTCTCCTTGGTTGCTGGCTGGTCTTAGTCTGGCAATGACACTATCAGGCCTTCAACTGGTAAGTCTCAGGGAGACTGCTGTTGATACATGGATGTACTTTTAGGTAATTTGTACATTTTCAGATCACATCCTTTATGTCCCATATTATTGTGAATTGTGAATGTAGTTTGACAGTTCAAATTGTCACTTTAGAATGTGCATTTTAAGTTTGGAGTAATAGTGTTTAAATAAATTATTGCTATTTATCATTTATCATTCATTTTTTTTTTTTTTCAGACAGGATCTTTTTGTTGCCCAGACTGGAGTGCAGTGGCATAATCATGGCTCACTGCAATCCTGACCTGCTGGGCTCCAGCAATCCTACTGCCTCAGCTTCCCAAGTAGCTGGGACTACAGGCATTTGCCTAGCTATATATATATATATATATATATATATATATATATATATGTATGTATGTATTCATTTTTTATAGAGATGGGGTCTCGCTATATTGCCCAGGCTGGTCTCAAACTCCTGGCCTCAAGTGATCCTCCCACCTTGGCCTCAAAATGCTGAGATTACAGGTGTGAGCCACCACACCCAGCCAAATGATTTCTACACTAAACTATAAGCACTGACTGACTTTATAGTACATCTTTAACTTTTGTTTAGTATCTTGGCCAAGATTTGTTAGAGCCTGATCCTACTCTTTTTTTTTTTTAAACTCAGGTTGTGCTCATAGCTTGGTGTAACCTCAAACTCCTGGGCTTAAGCGATCTACTTGCCTCAGCCTCCTGAGTAGCTCGGACTACAGGCATGTGCCCCACGCCCAGCTAATTTTTAATTTTTTTGTACAGATGGGTCTCACTGTGTTGCCTAAGCTGGTCTCAAACTCCTGGCCTCAGATGATCCTCCTGTGGATTATAGGCATGGGTCTCTAAACCTGGCCTACATATTTTTAAATGACAGTTACATATTTCATACCATGAACTAATGAGAAGCTTGTTAAATACACTGATATTTGTTTTGTAAAGTTTTTAAGAAACAAAAGAATGTCTTACTCTCTTCTTTATTTTGCAGAATTTTTGACAGCAGCTGTATATCTTCTAACATTCCTCTCCTCACCACCATCAGGTAGGCTTCTGTATGTTTGTTGCAGTGCATACGTTAGACATCTGATTGTCAAAGAGATGTAATAGTCCTGATTTTTGCCTACAAACATACACTGTGTAAGTGTCCCAGTTTTCTAGTTCCTATCCAGAGGGTTCTTACTTCCAGGTTCCCTGTGTCTGTAGAGGTTCAGTCTCTTTTAGTCAGTAGCTGTTCTCTTCTGGTGGGAGATTATTTTTAGTTAAGGTTAATGACTTTATTCTGACCTGAATTACTCATGCTATCTTATTTAAGAAGACTATAGCTCCTCTCTTGCTGATGAGGCTGTCTGAAGTTCTGTTTATTTGTGTCTGTTTATTCCGAACATAGAGGGCTTCCCCATCTTCTCACTTCATTTCTTTGATTATACTCTAGTGTTAACTACTTTGAATGTGTGTATTTTACATCAAACTTTACTCAATGCTGCCTTCTAGATATCCCTCTTTGTCAGTATTTACGAAGTTGGGAATAGAGTGTGTGATATATGTTGGTTGTTGTTTCATGAGTTTTATACTCTATAGAGGCTATATTTAAGTATGTTGATTTTCTTTTTCAGAATTGTTTCCTTCTTTTCCTTTTTCAAACATTTTGTTCATCAGTTGTTTTTTTTTTCCGGGTCCACAATTTTTTATGTTTTTAAAGACATAGTCTCATTTCGTAGCCCAAGCTGGAGTACAGTGGCATGATCTCAGTTCACTGCAACCTCCGCCTCCTGGGTTCAAGTGATTCTCGTGCCTCAGCCTCCCAAGAAGTTGGGATTACAGGTGCATGCCACCCCACCTGGCTAACTTTTGTATTTTTAGTAGAGACGAGGTTTCTCTATGTTGGTCAGGCTGATCTCGAACTTTTGATCTCAAGCAATCCACCCACCTTGGCCTCTCAAAGTGCCGGGATTACAGGTGTGAGACACTGAGCCCAGCTTGTTTTATTTTTATTTTATTTATTTATATATTTATTTTGAGACAGAGTCTCGCTCTGTTGCCCAGGCTGGAGTGCACTGGCGTGATCTGTGCTCATTGCAGCCTCCACCTCCCAGGTTCAATTGATTCTCCTGCCTCAGATCCTGAGTAGCTGAGATTATAGGCACACGCCACTATGCCCAGCTAATTTTTGTATTTTTTTTTAGTAGAGACGGGGTTTCATCATGTTGGCCAGGCTGGTTTTGAACTCCTGGCCTCAAGTGATCCACCCGCCTTGCCCTCCCAAAGTGCTGGGATTATAGGCATGAGCCAATGCACCCAGTCTTATTTTTTAATTGACTAATAAAATTGTATATATTTATCATGTATAACATGTTGTTTTGAAATATATACACTGTGGAATGGCTAAATCAAGCTAGTTAACGTGTATTACCTCACGTGCTTACCATTATTTCGTGGTGAAAACACTTAAAATCTGTCAGCAATCTTCAATAATATAGTACATTGTTATTAACTATAGCCATCCTGATGTACAATAGATCTTGAATGTATTCCTCCTATTAATTGAAATTTCATATTCTTTGACTGACATTTCCCCAACCCTTCCGCTGTCTGCCAACCAGCCTGTTAACCACTCTCTCTTTTTTTTTTTTTATAAGACGGGGTTTCACCATGTTGGTCAGGATGGTCTCGATCTCCTGACTTTGTGATCTGCCCACTTTGGCCTCCCAAAGTGCTGGGATTACAGGCATGAGCCACAGCGCCCGGCCCCACTCTCTTTTTTAAAATAAGGGACAGGGTCTTGCTCTGTTGCTCAGTATGGAGTACTGTGGCATGATCATGGCTCACTGCAGCTTCAGTCTTCTGGACGCAAGCAGCCTTCCTGCCTTAGCCTCCCAAGTAGCTGGGACTACAGGCACACAACCATGCCCTGCTAATTTTAAAAATGTTTTTGTAGAGATGGGATCTTGCTGTTGCCCAGGCTAGTCTGGAACTCCTTGCCTCAACTGATCCTCCTACGTGGGCCTCCTGAAGTGTTGACATTACAGGCATGAGCCATCATGTCTGGCCTTACAACTTTGTTATTTTTTATTATTTTTTAGAGTAGTCAAGTGCAGTAGTGAGAAGGTGGGAAAGAGCAGAATAAAGAGTTTGATCTGTAACTGACTCTGAACAGTTAATTGAGATAACTTAGTACCTTTGGACCAGCCTCAGCTTTTTAAAATTCCACAAGTGAGGTCATATGGTATTTGTCTTTCTGTGCTCGGTTGATTTTATTTAACAGAATGTCTCCATGTTCATCTGTGACAGGATTTTCTTGTTTTAAGTGGGATAATATTCCAATATGTGTGTATACTTCATTTTCTTTATTCATTTACCCATTGATTGATTGATTGCATATCTTAGCTGTGACAGTGAATGTGGGAGTACAGATATTTCATACAGAGTTCATTTCCTTTGGATACATTCCCAGTAGTGGGATTGCTGGATCATATGGTAGTTCTATTTTTAATTTTTTGAGGAGCCTCCATACTGTTTTCCATTATGGCTGCACCAATTTCCACCAACACTGTACAAGGGTTCCTTCTTCTCCATATCTTTACCAATACTTGCCATTCTACTAGATGTGAGGTGGTATCTCATTGTAGTTTTAACTTGCATTTCACTGATGATTAGTAATGTTGAATATATTTTCATATAATTGATTGGGCATTTGTATGTTTGCTTTTGAGAAGTGTGTATTCCGATCCTTTGCCCATTTTTTAATTGGGTTATTTGTTTTCTTAGTTGAGTTCCTTGTATATTTCAGATGTATGGTTTGCAAATATTTTCTCCCATTCCATAGGTTGTCTCTTTACTTTGATGATGGTATCCTTGGCTGTGCAGAAGCTTTTTAGCTTGGTGTAATCTCATTTGTCTATTTCTGCCTTTGTTGCCTTTCCTTTGGGATTCACATACAAACAAATCATTGCCCAGGCCAGTGACAGGGAGATTTCTCCCATGTTTTCTTCTAGTAGTTTTACAGTTTCAGGCCTTATATTTGTCTTTTTTTAAAATTTATTTTTGTATATGGTGTGAGATATAGTCTAATTTTACTCTTCTGCATGTGGATGCCTAGTTTTCCCAACAACGTTTATTGGAGACTGTCCTTTCCCCATTTTGTGTTCTTGGCATCCTTATTAAAAATCAATTGACCTGGGGCCGGGCGCGGTGGCTCACGCCTGTAATCCCAGCACTTTGGGAGGCCGAGGCGGGTGGATCACGAGGTCAAGAGATCGAGACCATCCTGGTCAACATGGTGAAACCCCGTCTCTACTAAAAATACAAAAAATCAGCTGGGCATGGTGGCTTGTGCCTGTAATCCCAGCTACTCAGGAGGCTGAGGCAGGAGAATTGCCTGAACCTAGGATGCGGAGGTTGCGGTGAGCCGAGATCACGCCATTGCACTCCAGCCTGGGTAACAAGCGAAACTCCATCTCAAAAAAAAAAAAAAAAAAAAAAAAATCAGTTGACCCTAAATGTTTGGATTTATCTCTGGATTCTCTGTTCTATTGTTCTGTCTCTGTATACCAGCATGATATGGTTTTGGTTAGTATAGCTTTGCAGTCAGGTAGTGTGATGCCTCTAGCTTTGTTCTTTTTGCTCAAAATTGCTTTGGTTTATTGGGGGTTTATTTTGTGGTTATATACAAATGTTAACATTGCTTTTTCTATTTCTGAAAAATGTCCTTGGAATTTTGATAGAGATTGCGCTGAGTCTGTAAATCACTTTAGGTAATATGGACATTTTAAACAATATTATGCCTGTTTATGAACATTGTATATCTTTGTATTTGTTTGTGTCTTTTTCAGTTACTTTCACCAGTGTTTTATAGTTTTCAGTGTATAGATCTTTCATGTACTTTGTTAAATTTATTCCTAAGTATTTAAATTTTTTGTAGCTATTGTAAATGAAGTTGTTTTCTTCAGTTTTTCAGTTTGTTCATTATTAGTATATAGAAATGCTACTGTTTTCTAGGCCAGGCATGGTGGATTATGCCTGTAATCCCAGCAATTTGGGAGGCCAAAGTGGGCGGATCACTTGAAGTCAGGCGTTTGAGACCAGTCTGGCCAACATGGTGAAACCCTGTCTCCACTAAAAATAAGAAAATTAGCCAGGCATTGTGGTGCACTCCTGTAATTCCAGCTACTTGGGAGGCTGAAGCACAGAATCTCTCGAACCTGGGAGGCGGAGGTTGTCCAGAGTGGGCGACAGATTGAGACTGCATCTCAAAAATAAAAAGCTATTGATTTCTGCATGTTGATTTTGTGTACTGCACGTTTACTGAAATTTTTAGTTCCAACAGATTTTAGATGGAGTCTTTAGGGTTTTTACCTAGCTTGTTGGTTGCTATGTAGTATTATGGGTTTTTTTTTGAGACAGAGTTTTGCTCTTGTCACCCATTATGGAGTGCAATGATGTGATCTCGGCTCACTGCAACCTCCTCCTTCCGGGTTCAAGTGATTCTCCTGCCCCAGCCTCCCGAGTAGCTGGGATTACAGGCATGCACCACCATGTATTTTTAGTAGAGACAGGGTTTCACCATGTTGGACAGGCTGGTCTCAAACTCCTGACTTCAGGTGATCCACCTGCCTCAGCCTCCCAAAGTGTTGGGATTATAGGTGTGAGCCACTGTGCTCGGCCAGTATTATGTGTATTCATTTTATTTTACTTTTTCTTTTTTT